ACGCTGTTCAGAATACCAATGAATATTTATTATTGATTGCGGAAATCCCCGTAAAAGCGGGATTCCCAATCTTACAGGAAAATCGCTCAATTGAAGGGCTTGAGGTTTGTATTTTTGATGTAACTTATGTTTTATAGTAAGATAAGAAAAAAAATGTCATATGAAGATTTGGCTCGACGATTGATGTGCCCGCATTGAATTTATTTTTATTTTTTCCTGTTTGGTTTTCGATTTTCGGTTTATGAGGCGCGATATTGATCGACACTGTCAAAAAGAAAAAAATGCGGCACACGAAAAAAATAAAAAATAAAAATAGGCTTGTCGTTCCGAAGCCGAGTATTCCAATTCGCGCGCTTAGGTTTCTGAGAATCAGCGTCGCTGCCGGTGACGGTTTTAAATAAACTTGCGTAAAAATTGAAATATCATATTCGAAAAAAAACGAACAACTTGCGATTACGTAGTTTCGCAGGTTATCCAGAGTACGTGCCGCGGCATCCGAATGTTCACTGTTTATATTCAATTTGTCGTCTCGAAGAAAGTGGGATGGTCCCCAATTATGCGTAATCTTTTTTTGCGATAATAATGATAATAACATATCGGTTGTTTCGCTGGTTAGAAATTGAATTTTTTAATGATTTAATTGCAATTTTTATTACGAAATGGATCAGAAATGGGTAATTATGCAATTCCAGTAAAGCACTCATGATTGAAAGTGATTTTATAACGCGCATGTGTTCGTTTTTTTGCGAATGTAATGCTTAATCACGATTTTACTTCATTTCCACGAAGTTGTGACTTTCATTTTGATATTAGGTTTTTGGAATCTTTAAAACACCCGATATACTTATACGTATTCATTTAGTTCTATTGTCGACGTCATGCGACTGCGTAAAATTGGCTAAATGAAAAAAAACCGATGACAGTGGTCTTGGCACAAAAGTAAAATTGTAGATTTATGAGCCTATGCATAAATATCGGTTAAAGGCACACACCGCACACTAGACCTCTTTTTAATTTTAGCTAATCCATTAAGTGTGGCCGCGGCCGAACCTAATTTTTGAGTACATTTCGTCTAGGCCACTGACGCCGAATAAAACCGAAAGTGAAAAGCATTTTAACACACACATACACGTCAAATATTTGGCTCAGCACTGTTCGATAACTGAATGGACGCGAATGAGTTTCGGACCTGTGTTCGAGCGGTGCCCAATATACGTTTGTTGGAAGAATTCTTCGAATAGCTTTTATTTCTTCATTCATCCGATGATTGTAAAAATTCACATTTTTTTAATTAAATCAGTTTTGCCCGCTAAAAAATGAAAAATATTGGTTAATCTTGAATATTTTCCAGGTCGAATTTCCGTTTTGCTTTTGCTGCTCTTTGGATTCCCACCAACTTCTCGATATGGACGATTATTTTTAAATTTTTTGTTTCCATTTTTGTTTCCAATTTTTTTAATATCAAAAAAAAGGTCAGGTAAGTCTATTTTTATTAACCTGTGAAATATGCGAAATTGGTAAGTCGTTCAAAATTTTTTTTACGAATTTCGATCTTTGAATTAAAAAAACCGATTGATTTTGCACATTTACGAGCCATTAAAAATTTGTGAGATGTTTATCGTCATTTAAAAAAGTGTGTTGTTGAAAGCAAGAAAACGACACGTTTCGACATAGGGAAATTCGACCCGAAATTATGCGGATTTAAATTGAAAATTGCGTCGTATCTACATGATATTTCCGTGCGCGCACAGTGTGAAAACATCGAAATAATACAAGTGGCGAGACCATTTCGAAAGGCGCACCTCGTAAAATTACTAGCGCACAGAAATCACCGGACGGCTCTGCAGCGCTTTAATTATTAATTTTGTCAAATTATTTTTTCCAAGGAGAGTGATCTCCATAAATTTCTTTCAGAATTTACAAACCATTTAATATTCTGTTGCTAAAGAATAATATTAATAAATTCGTTATTATCAATAGATCACAATTTGCTGATTCACAACACAATGAATGAAATGACAAAAAGGATTAAGCATTATATTCGCGATGGTCCGGTTGGAGAATGCCAATATGCGAGATTTTCTGTCATCAATTCAAAGTCCGCACATGTTTGATTTTTGGTCTTCGGGATGTCCCGAATTCGACTGAAAGCTTGAATGCCTTGGATGGACCATTTCGATTTTCTTACCCATATTCTTTCCACATTTCGTTTCCTCTTTTCGACCACTTGTCAGCTTGATAAACCGGCTCGGGCAATGAAATGGGAATTTTGCAAATTTGATGATGGGAACTCAACGCCAATAGAAGTGCCTCCACCTCGTCCATGTCCTTAAAGCCGATCTCATTCCGAAGCAACTGATAGCAGACAGCTTGTGCAGTTCCTTGAAACGCATTGGCCGACACGATGTACGCTTCGTTGATATTGACTCTCGTAATATCCCGATCAATTACAGTCAGCGGCTTGACATTTGAGATGTCTGAAGTCAAACTATAGACAACACAATAGATGGAGCGTCTAACTGCTATCGAGCCGATTGAAGAATCTTGCAGAATTTCTTTTTGTGGCAATCACGACTGCGAACTTTGGCGGCCAGTTCTTGAGATTCTGCTGGTTGGCCACCTCTTGACAGGCGGTTCTCATCGCGTTGAGTTCTTCATTCAATATCTGAACACGACAAAGATTGGATTGAAACGAGCCTAGCGAACGGACCATTTGATATTGTCCTTCGGACACACCGTCGCGGATTATCAAAATCGTTAGAGGATATTTTATACGGTAGGCCACAAACTGCTCGATCATCCACTTCATTCTTCTCTTGAGAATATCCGATTCGACTTGCTCCTTCTTCGGATACTGATAGTGAAAATCCCCAACGAAAGCTTCTTTATGAGAAGCTCCATTAAATGAGAAGTAAAAAATGAAGTGCGACAAATCTCGATTACAAAAAAAACACCACAGACTCCTATGACGCTGGGGACCATCACACATTCATTCGAGTTTCAGACTTCCTACAATCACCACTAAACGTCGTATTTTTGAGCATACCGTGCGAATTATTAGCCAAATCATCGATCAATATGATCAGGTCTGTTTTATCTTTGTTGCTGAACTTGGTGAACAGCTGAAATGTCTGGTCGAAAGAATAGAAATCGCAGTAGAACAACATACGCGCTTCAGGGTCTCGAAGTAATCGACGCCCAACTTGTAAGCACTTATATCCTCGATGATCCATTTGCCAACGGAAATGCCCGACAGTTTGCAGCCATCGCTGAACAATTTCAGGCAGTTGCTAAAAAATGATATAATGGTGTTGTGTCCTTGAGTTCCGCGTGTATGGTGCCGAAGCATGGGGATCGAAGTGAACAGTGATGTAGAGTTGGATAGCTTTATTATATCCTTAGATGGAACACTACAATGTATGATGGCCGGGTATTTATACTAGTGGGGATGTGCTTCTAGAATGTTCTACAATGCGCGTGTGGGGATGTTTACGTGAGGAACTGGGTTCTAGAATATTCCATAACCTACGAGATTACAATAGTTTACGTGAGTGTGCTCACAACAAATGGGAAGAATATTCTTGTGAACTTCACTCACTTGGCAACGCTTTTTTTTTATTATCATGAGACACAACTATAGTGGAACAAGATGCTCCGCGAACAAGCTTTGATCCATTTTGACGAATGCGGGGAGCTTCTCGTTGGATGGCCGTCACTGTTTTGGGATTTGCCGAAATAGTGACACCGAACCTGCAACCCTCTCAATAGTTCAAGCATCGCAATTTTATAGTTGGTTACATTTTCAAATATTTATTATTAGCTCCGCCAGCGTCTAAATTGAGATCGTGAAAAAATGGAAAGAAACAGAAGGAAAATTAAAGAAAAGCACTCCTCTACTACTGTTCAACTCGTTCACCACACCAAGTATCTTTCCGCTTAAGTTTTATTATATTTAATTGATAAATCACCGTTTTAGATTCGCTGTTCTGTTTTTTTTAATGGACCTGCCCTCGGCAATATAGCCATTAGCTGCGCCCTCGGCGTTTATCTTTATTCGCATAGAAATATTATCCGCGCCCTCGGCGACAATATTAAAAAATTTCTTCGCACTCGGCGTTTACATTTAAATTTCAAAAATTTCGTGCGCCCTCGGCAACTAATATTCTTAAATTTCCGCCACTTTTTAATCCATGATCCAGCAACTGCGCCTTCAGCGCTTATAACGTTGCTCGCGCGCGCTCACATACTTGCGTGCACAAAAAAAAAACAAATAACTTTTCAAAAAATCAAGCTCATCTTTGACAATTCTTCCAACTGTTCTCGCACTCACATGGACTTCTGACACAATCTTTCTGATGCTACGATCTGGATTTCGACGAACTCGTTATCTGATGACATTGACTCGCTCCGGTGTTATCGTTTTCTTCGGTGTTGCGGTGATCTCCAAAGTTTTTAGAAATCATCTTGACCGATGTTTCTTTTGGTCAATAATTTTTTGCTTCCCTTTTCTTGCTCCCCCCCCTGATTTTTTGCACCCACTTTTGTTGCTCAATCTATAGCCGGCGTCCGGCGACTGCCTTATGTGGGTAGATTTACGCGCGCCGACTATAAATAAGTCACAAAATCAGTTTTTCTCTTGATTGTATGAACTATGTATTATACTTTGTACTAAAAAAAATGTACCCTTCTATGTACTTTCTATTCCTTTACCTTTTTCAAGATTTGTTTTATCAGCTTTTATTCCTTCTATCTGAAGAACCTCATATGTACCCAATATATAAAAAAGATAAAGCTTGTGACCCAGCTAATTATCGTTCAATATCCTTAACTCCCCATTGAAAGGGGTTTGATTGTTTACATCAGCATCTTTTCCGTTAGTACTACGGAAAATGAAAAAAAAATTACGAAACAAACAAAAATTTTCATTGCAGGAAGAGGTCCATAAAAATGTAAACAACTGTAATATTTCAAAACAATATTTTCATGGCCTATCGAGATATTCAATTTCTTTTTCTGGCTTTTCTTTTCTCCTCTTCTTCGGTCAATTTCCTACGATGGCATCTTTTAACAATTCCGTTGAAATATCCCAAATAGACAAGTGTGATAGCTCGGAAAATTCCAGCCAACATCGCTTGAACAATAGCTCGTGGAAGGGATTTCTCGGGACTCGCCCCAGCGGTTAAATTGCCTGGAAAAATATTTAAGATAACTAAGATACATTTTCAATTTTCTCACCAAGCATCCATCCATCCAATCCAATTGTAGTTGCATAATTACCATCGGCGATATCATTCAAATGAGCTTCAGCAACGAACTTTGGAGTGAAAAGACCAGCAGAATCAGATATGAGCTTCGTCTCTTCGGGCATTGTCTCAATTTCAACCTGAAAAAATTAAACACCAAATCGAAATAATATATTATACTGTTAAAGGTTGAAGTCATCTAAAATGAAAATTTGTGAATATTTTTCGGCCTGTACTTCGCAGTAAGTCTTACAAAAAATAAACTAACTTTAAATCCCTCCGTGTCTGTATTTGGAGGATAGAGAACACCAACATTCACACGATAAGGTAGTAATTCCATGTGAAGAGCATCAGCAAATCCTCTGCAAATAAATGTCACAATTGTCACATTTCAAAAAAAAAGAACCTCAGTGCGAATTTCGTTGGAGAATATGCCGTGTATCCAAAAATGGCAAATTGTCCAGCGGCTGAAGAAACAAAAGAAATATGACCGGATTTTCGCGATTTCATGTCTTCGACTACAGCACGACTCGCGTAAACCTAAATAACGTATTCACTCGAAAACAATGAAAATAAAATAATACAGCGCTCAAATAATTAATTTTCATTTGTTTTTCAAAATCGTCGACAGGAAGTTCAGAAAATGGCGCCTGAAATCAATATATCCCATAAATGTCAGTAGTATACATTAATTAGTGAATACCTGAACACTATGTCCGGCATTATTTATCAAAATCTCGATAGGACCTAATTCTGCTGCGCTTTCATCAAAGGTTTTCTTAATTTGTTCATAATTTGATGTCAAATCAAGAGATTTCCATTGAACTTTTTGATTTTGGCCTCTTTGAATTGCTAACTCTTCCAAAGATTCGCACGCTTTCTTAAAAAAGGAATAATTAAGAGTTCGTAATATTCTTTTTGAACCTTTAAATCGTTGACATTTCTCGCAATAATCGTCACATTACAACCTCTTTCAATCAAACCAGCAGCTAATTGGAACCCAATTCCTTTTGAGCCACCTACAATATAAGTATTTTCGCTTTATTTGCAGCATTTAATTTATTACCAGTAACAACTGCGTGTTTTTTGTAAAAGAAGAAATCTCGTCTAGATGGAAGTGAAAAATAAAGAACGAGACCTCCAACGAGAAAAATAACAAAGCCGATTATCTGCAAATTCGTAGAATTTCAAAGTTGTAAAATTGGACATCAATTCTAAAAAAAACCATTTAAAGGAATTCGAAGAAAAAAAGTGGTTTTAAATACTCACCGGAATAAAAACAAGAAAAACTAAACCCATTTTGTTCAAAGAAAATTCGACACGTCGGTTTCGGTTAACTGAAATTATTGCGTTTGCTTGATTAATACCACCGATTATCAATCATCGTACACTATGGAAATGAGCAGCAATTCGATATCCTCGAAATAATCCTTTCGACGATAAAGCAGCCCAAACTTGTTGAATTTCCGAACCCGTAGCAATAACACTTCCTCTGTTTTGGCTTTCAATATATTCGGATACCTAAAAAAATATAACTCATGTTTAACAATCTAATAGGTAAATATTGAAACCTTGACAATGGGACCACAAGTACCAAAAACTTCGCGAACCGCTTCGTTGACAAACTGTTCGAATTGATTGATTGTGAAAGAGCGCTTATCGGGTAGCTCGCTACAAAACAATCGATGTTTGAGTGTAACGTGTGTTGCGAGTTATGCAAACAAAATGACGAAACGTCTAATTCTTCAACCAAATTCGAAACTTGGCATCAAAATAATGTGAAACATCCATCGATCGATGTAAATATGGTAAAATATATAAATTCTTACATCTTGACACCAAGCCGAGTGTAATCTGCTTCGATTTGGTTCGATCCCATTCACTTTCAAACTATAATTTTTTTTTCAAAATTCTTTCTTATTTTCACAACACAACAGATACTAATTGAGGCAATAAATACACTGAAATCGTCATTGAATGAAAACAAATTATTTTGAAGTTTTTATTGATATTTTACAGATTATTGTTAGTTGTATATATAAAAATGGTGTCGCACACGGAATGCTTTTGGTACATTAGATGCACATGTAAGCCAGAGAATTGGCGTTTAGATAAAGCTTCGTTGTTAATTTAAAAAAAAAAGAATAATCAGCGTGCCGATGTGGACTCGGAGCGTTTGCGGATGATAACATGACTGCGATGACGATGTGTGATTTCCAATTGGTATTTGAACAGATAACGATGAAGCTGCAAACTTGGAACAATTATTTCTCCTAATAATAAAAAGCAACTAACCAATATGTTATTAGCCTTATTTCTTGGGCAAATGTCTATTGTAAGCTCTCCGCGACAACCATCCCGGCAGAACCTGTCGATTTTCTTCTGGAGGTTTGAAACCTGATGAGATGAGGCCGACTTCCGAAGATACATTTTGCGATCAAATGGAACCTAAAACGTTTTTTTATAAATAAATTAAAATCGAAATTTACTCCATCAGCGTTCTTATCCCCAGTTGGAGTTGTGTCGCCAACCCAGTCGCTCTGCTCGTCGTCCGCTTCACCACCTTGATTATCCCCGGATAGTGACTCATCACTCGATGAAATATGCGATTCTTCGTCATCACAATCCATTCGCTTATCTAAATAAGTCATATTACTCTTCGAAATAATGATACCAGATATACTATCAAGACGGGATTTTGGAGATGGATCCACATCCATATTATGTCCCTTAATTGGCCTTTTCATCGTTCTTTTCTTACGGCGGCTCGCAAGGCGCTCCTCAAGCGCATTGTTAGGAGATTCCGGCAATGAATCCGATTCAAGAGTCACATTTTCGATACGCTTCGAGACTTTCTACATGCATATTAAGATACTTGCAACTGATCCATTAAATACCTTGCACTCAGTATCGACATCGCTGTCAATCTGATCTTCGCATTCGCTGATGTCCATCTGGAAAAGGTTATATAAAACGCTACTTTAAAACACAATTGAGGGAACAAGCAAAAAAACACATTAGTGTTCGTATTCACGTCGAAAACAGCTGCAAACTGTCAGAGAAATAGAGAAGAAGGGTGAATGAGGCATGGAAGGCAGACGACGGAGCAAAGAGAGGAGAGATTGACGGGATGTCGGCCGGCGAAAAAGGCAGCGAGGGTGCAATAACAAGAAAGTGGACACACTAATGCAAAATCATTTACGCTAAAACAAGGGCACGGTTAAGCGGCGCATCGTCGCATTGCTTCCTAATTTGACGCTTCATCAAACTAATTCTACAATGTCTAGAAATTCACTTTAATGTTTAAACCAATTATTTTAGCGATGGAGATGGAACCGTCGAAACTAGTTGTTCGCAATGATCTCATTATGGATTTGATTATGAAGGATTTGGTGGAATGTAGCGAAATGAGAGGAACAGATGTAGTACGGCATTTTATCGATATTCGTCGAATTTCCAAAGAATTTGCACAAAGTCTAAGGCGAGTTCTCGCAAAAAGATTCAAGAATGTCGTAATAAGTCGTTATACACCGCTGGATGAACGGAAGTGGTAAATTATTTTTTTAATATTGAAACTTCTTTCACTTCGACTTTTATTTTAGGCAGCATCCGGCATTTTTCCACAGAAGGTCGCATAAACCCGATGTTGTCATCAACTCATGTAGAATGGATTGGGACCAATTGGAAAAATTTCTGAAATTTCTGAACACCGCTTTCGGCGTTGAAATTCAAACGATCAAGTTTTTTCCAATTAATCGCGACACTTTCGCATCGCCACCGAGAACTTGTAAGTTTCAAATTTCATGACGGATTTTGACAAATTTGAAGGGGGAGGACAACCTGACAAAGCACGAAAATGTCATAGAAACTGTAGAAAACAGAAAAATAGAAAAAGAGAGAACGACTATTTCATATACTGTTTCTGAACAAAAAGCGACGACCAGAATCAGTTGGTCTTGCTCATTTTCTGACAAATAGTGAAAAAATCCTCGTAAACCTTACAGTGTTCAACTTCCACCAATTTTGCATAGAACGCCCAACGTACAACGGTGCAAAAATTTTGTGCAATCCAAAAAATAGAGTTCAGGATTTATTGTACGATTTAAATGAAGAAGAAGTCACAATAAGTTCTTGGTATACCGATATGAATATTTAAAATAAATAAATATTTAAAGGTTTTTGGAAGAGACTGCAAATAACTGGACTTATGTCGACCCGGAATACATGAACCGGGTTAAGGTATCTAATATGCGTTTGCACTTTTAAAACATTTTTATTTCAGAAGCTTTTGAAACCAATTAAACCAAAAGTGGTAAATGCAATTCTCACTGATTGTGTTCTCATCAGAGACATGGATCTTCTTTCGCATGACATTATTGTTCCAAATATGCAACCGTTGGAAATTTTCGAAGTGGTTCTTCAAGAGCTTAAGTAAGTAAAAATTATACATATTATCTATAATAGTGATGAAATTTAAGGCCAAAAGTGTTGAATGTCAAGCTTCGCACTGAGTTTGCAAGCTCATTAGACGAAGGAATTCGAATGGATTGGGACGATCAGAACTTTTTCAGAACCTTTATTCTTTATAATTCGGAAGATTTCTCCATTCCAGTCAATCCAAGCATGAAGTAAAACTATTGAAAAATGTTTTAAATTATATTCTATATCTCCTATTATAGGGGTGTAGAGGACATTGTTCTCATCGTTGATACAACAGGAACGCATAGCTGGAATACTACAACAAATGAGAGCGGTAATGTCTTTGTCTTCGATTAATTGGGACCATTTTGAAACTTAGGATTCAATTTCGTTTTTCGCGATCTTCTCAGTTTATTCCCAATGAAGAAAGTTCTAATTGGAAGAGCAATTTATATACCGGAAAGCACAGGATTGGTAGGTTTTCTTAAAACTACACACAACTAGAAATTTTATTGTTGTTAGGTTGAAGCTTTTCAAAATGAAATTGACGGCTGCATGGAATCGATATCACGAGCATCGGAAGTGATCAACAACCGACCAATATTCGTAAAAATGTTTTTCTGTCGAAATATTGAACTTATTACGATTCCATCAAATCGTCATGTGGTATGTTTTAGAAATAATTATTAACTAGTAGTTCTAAATCTCAATTTCTAGAAGCAATCTGTTCCGCGGTACAGCAGTCATCAAATTGAATTTGACAACGAGGCGGCCAAAAATTTCTTTAATGAATACTCGTCGCCGTATCTAGAGGATCGCTACACGAATGTTCGCGCCATTCCGAGCACAATAATTCGAAAATGGACCGTATCTTACAATGGTCCACATGTGATCCATTTCGAACTTGTCCTGGCATTGGATATGGTGCACGCTTCCTACGACGACTAATTATTCAAATCAAATACTTTAATAATACGTATCTCTGCCGGAAATGCAAATTATTCGCAAAATTGCCCGTTTTTTTCTCTCATTGTTTCCTTGAATGTCTTCTGTTTCTATCTCTGCGCTCTCTTTTTCCATCAACATTCCTATTTTGCCGAAATAAAATAATTGCTCTTTTTGAAATATCAGCTGATATCTGTTGCTAAGCAACCCATACGCTTGTCGGCCGAATATTTTGTCATATCGATTGCGAGAAATGCCGCTGTTCGGTTCGAAAAAGAACGGAAAGAAAACTGATGGCCCTGGGTATCCTGTGCAGCAGGTTTGTTTTTTTTTCTTTTCGAATATTTACAATCCTGTTCGCAGGTTCCAGTTCAACAACCAACCAATATTCCTCCAAGAATGGTAAAAATCAAAAACTCGATATAGAAAAAAAATACGTGATAAATTGCAGACTTATGGGGCGACAACTACTGTTGTGCACATAACTACTCTGGTAATTCATTTCGAATCGAATACGACACATTTGAAACCGAATACGACAAATTTCGGCTCCGAACGTGACCTAATTAGGTTCGAAATTTCTCGTATTAGGTTGTGAAATTATCGTATTCGATTATCTTTGGAATACGTTTCGAATGCAGCCGTATTCGTTTTGAATGCAGCCGAATTCGTTTTGAATGCAGCGGTATTCGTTTTGAATGTAGTCGTATATTTTTCAAATGTAATCGTATTCGGTTTTGAATTGAATTCGATTTGAATCAATTATGGAAGAAAAAGAAAATCGATTAGACAAACAAAATTATTTATTGCAATAAACACAATAACAACCAACAGCAGGAATGAAACAAAAAATATGTATAGCAGGATGTGCGATTTTTTCAATTTATTTCTTCGGAAATACTATTTCGATTATTTGTTTTCGCCATTTTTTGACGAAAAATTTATAACTTGCTTCAATTTCGACATTTCCTTTTCTGGTAAATGAAAATCGATCGAGTTCGAAAATAATTTTCTTTTCAATCGAAATCGATAATACATTAATCTGTTTCGAATTATTTCAAAATTAAATCGAATACGATTTCAAAATTGAGAATGAAGAATGAACCAATCGATTTCGAAGATTTTTGAATCGAAACAAGTTTTCAAAGCGAATCTAAACAATTTCTCAATCGAATTTCATTTCTTTTTCTATCGAATCAGATTAATTTATATTTTGTTTTTTTGATTTTCATTTAACTACGGAAATTCCAAGCCAACGCAAACCTGATAAACTGATATACAGAAAATTAACTATGGCGCGAGTTCGAGAGCTCCTCCTCAATTCGCAGCCTCCTTGCGCGATTACTAAAAATTTTCCGGTAAAAAAACTATAAAAATGAAATATTGACTAACCATAAGTATTCGATATAATTTTCCGTGATTACTGTAACGGCAATTCGCATCATCTTCTCTTCGGTGTCCGGGATTGATATACAATGTAAAAGTAATTCTGTAAAAATTAAATTATTGAGATATTATAGAATTATAGAAAACTGACCAATAAACGTATTGATTATGTGCGCTTCAATTGCAATATTACCTTTTTGAGGATTTCGGCGTGGCGTATACTTGCATCGAATGTTTTGAGGAATCACCTGTAACTATGAAAATAGTAAAAACATCGAAAATTATTTTTTACCTCGTTCATCCAAATCATAACTGCCTCGTGCACTATTGTTCGCAGATGACGCTTACAGGGACGCATCGACTGAATGATAAGTGAGAAGTTAACCAAATCTTTAAAAAAAAGTTATTTACTGTAACGAATTTCTTTTTACCATTTCCTTCAATGGCCGGCACAAGGGTGTCGTCATAAGAAGCAAGCTTCAGCGGGTCGAACATTGCAAATACCTTGTCCTAAAAATAGTAGGCAATTTATCTGTTTGATGCAATTAAATCACCAAATTCCCGCTATACGACGTCCTATTCGCTGGTTCTCATCATCTTCATCTTCATCATTATCACTTTCATATTCTTGATCTTGAACACTTGTCATGTCCACTTCCATTTCTTTAACAGTAAAATATCATTTTGACAAAATCGATAATTACCATGCTCAACATCATCCTTGAATTTTTTCGAAGATTTCCGCAAATCGCTCAATACGTCTCTCGTGTTGATCCGCTTCATCTAAAATTGCGCACAATATTAAGAAATACGATGCGAATACGATTTTAAACGATTAAATAAAATTTAAAGAAAAATTATCGGCTATCGGATGTTCCCGAAAAAAAAAGCGGCTCAGGTAATTATTTTATGTCGCCATATGGCGGTTCGCGTGCGATCTCGTTTATTGTTTTTCGAAATTCTTTTTGGGTTATTTTCCAACCGATGACAATGATTTCTGAAAATGATGTTGCTAAATATATGATAGAGAAACAGGTGCCAACTTCTGTTGCAATTGATATCATCGAATTTGTTGAAACTATTAAAAATATATTTACATTGAATCATACTGTGGAAAATTGATAAATATAAACGTGCGCGCACGCGAACCGCACGCGCCCGAACGCGAAATAATCTTGTAAATAGCTGCATTTCGGTGTCTCGCGGCAACAAGGAGTAAGCAACACTACTGGGCATTCATTAGTATTAAATATACTCAGCTCGTCAGCTCGGATATCATACGATATCGTTAACTTTTCGAAACCGACAAAATATTTTTTAAATAGAAAATTTAGGATAAATATGTCGCCGAATCCGGTTAATTAATTTGCGTTCGATTGTAATTCGTATTCGTTTCGGTTTTACTGCCAATTCGTATTCGATTCGAAATTTTGCGTATACGTTTGTAATACGCGTTCAATTCGTATTCGATTCGAATCGAGTTACCAGTGTTTTTTCGAACGTATACGATTGTAATTCTATCGTATTCGGTTCGGTTTTACTGTCAATCGTATACGATTCGAAATTTTCCGTATACGTTTGTAATACGCGTTCAATTCGTATTCGATTCGAAATGAATTACCAGAGTAATAACACTCATCTATATCAATCAGGCATCGAGGGGTTCATAGACAATGTACTAGACGGTCCGGATTTCTCGAATAGAGTTTATGATCCGAGCATTCCTCCAGCACCTGGAGCATATTTTGTATGCCAAGTAAATTAATTCGCACATTCTATCGAAAATTCGGTTTAGACTGTTCAGCAAGTTGTTCCACAATCACCGCCGCAGTCTGTATATTATCCTAATGCTCCAGTCGCTTCTACTTCCCAACCAGCAGCGCCACCACTTTTGAATCCTCCTCCCAGCTACAGTGAATTATTTAATGAGGAGTCAAAGAAGAAACTATAAACCACGTTTAACCGTGTCGACTACAATGTATCGCGAGGGGCAAAGTACGGCAGAAAACGTATGCCTCTCTTACCACTCTCCGTCTGAATCGCTTATCTTGCAAAGAACACCAGCGGGACAGGCGCGGTTTTGTTGATTGTCTGCACTACATATAATTGTTGTAGTCTCTTATTGGTGATTGATATTTGTATTTATTTATAAAAGAAACTGATCCCTATTGAAACCGTTTAATGTATGACTTTATAATTAATTTAGATACTTAACTCACATTAACTAACTTCGCATAAAAACTTTCCCGTTGTAAATGAATGTTTTACTTTTTTTAGATTTTAATGTCCGGAATTCTTATAATTTCCTAATGGACTTACTCAGGCAAATGAAAAAAAAATATTTTGAGACAATTCTAAAATCTTATGAGGTTCGTTGAGAGGCTAACGTGTCTCTATAATATTTTAGATTTGTCTCAATAAACTTTAGGAAATCTCATAAGATTTTAGAATTTATCAATAAGTTTCAATGAATATTGTGAGACTTTAAAGTTTATCAATAAGTTTTAGATTTGTCTCAATAAACTTTAAAGTTTATCAATAAGTTTTAGATTTGTCACAATAAACTTTAAAGTTTATCAATAAGTTTTAGATTTGTCTCAATAAACTTTAGAATATATCAATAAATTCAATAAACTCTGTCCAATATTATGTAATATCATACGTTATCGAGCAATTTTCACACAAATAGAATGTAATAACAGCCATAATAATTGAATATGTATGAACATTTCATTTATTACAATATTAATGCGAAATGAATATATTAATAATAAAAATCAGAAAAAAAATAAATGAATCAATTTATTCTTTTCGCATTTTCTCCTTTTTCTGCGAATGACGCACAACGTTGCTATAAGGAATTCGTTGCATATACTGAAAGAAAATGTTGAACTTACAAATTTTGATGATTGAATTTGTCGTTTTTCGATTAATTTCATGAGTTCTTTGCGATAAAATGACTTCTTAATTAAATCCGGATTCGCGTTGAAACGAATTTTCAATGAAGTCACAATCTCGTGATATAGTTTATAGCTGAAAATTGCCAGTTTTAAAAAATAACTGAATGAGTCTAACTTTCTCAAAATACTATATCCAATCCCGTTTGTCTGTTCCGAGCACATGTTTCTCTTGATAACGTGATAAATGTGCTCATGCGCTTGCGTGCTTATTGCCGACAGCTGACCATGACATTACTGTACAAATGGTATATAAGTTGCTGAAACAATAAATACAGTAATCATTAGTATTATTTCTTATATCAACGACAATAGCATGATGCTACAACGTTCAATAACTCTTAAAATTGCAAAAAAACGACTTACGTGCACTTTTGAACCAGAAAACAATTGAGGCGCCCCATCTCAAATTAGAATTTCTAATAATTTGCAAATACCTGCGATCTGAAATAAAAATTTTCTATTATGTACATAGCTAACGATCCCATATTACTTTGTTATATTACTAGCGAGTCGGTGACACCATCCATCGGTAGCAGGCATGTATAAGCAAAACAACAGCTGAACCTAACGGAGGGATGGTTCCGATCATGGCGTTAGAAACAATTTTCACTTCAAAAATCTTCAAAGGATGATAATTGCAAGTGGTAAATTAACTTACGCTAGCTTTTTCGGACCTATTAATGTCATTGAATTTTCCTGATAGCGACTTTACCGAAGATGGCAGTCTCGCTTTCACATCAATAGCTTCGCATCGAAAAATATTTATTTCGTTTTTAACGAAGACTTCTAAAAGACAATCTTCAATTTTTAAATGCTGAAAAAGGAGAGACATAATTGAAGTACCTTTTATTATACGTGTTCCCTCGTGAAAAAGGTGGAAAATATCCATGGCCGTGATCCACATGGGCACCTGCTCATTGAATTTGCTGTATTTACCTCGTTCCTTAAATCTATCGGCCAATGTTTCTGGAATGTTTGTTCCACACTTTTCCCGATCTTCTAAAATATCGAAATCATTAGAAACTGAAGTATAATTGTAATTAATTGTAATAATTGTGCGTATTTTTAAAATTCATGAACCTGTTCATGCAATGACATGTTTAGACACAACTGTTTCAAATTCAGCATGTAAAACAATGCAGATTTAAGGTAGTGTTAAACATTTATTATAAAAACTTGCATTTCATGAATACGTCCATCACTGAAGTGAAGAAACTATTACAAAAAGCTAAAAAAAAACGGAAGAAACATCAAAAACATAAATTATTGATTGGAATTTAGAAGATCTTAAAAAGAGACGCCGCAAATTGCGTCAGTGGAAGTCATAAGGGCCCTATTCAAATTTTAAAGTCTCACAATATATTGAGATACTTTACACTTTCTCAAAAGATTTAACTTTCTCAAAAGATTTAATTTACAAATTCCAAATTTTTAAAATTTATTGATTCTCAATAAGTTTTAGAAAGTATCAATAGACTTTAGAATTTCTCAAAATATTTTAGAGTTTATCACTGAATATTTGATTCTCAAAATATTTTATTTGATTTGCCTGAGTATTCACGCATTGAAAAAAGCTTTCAAAAAAATACACATTTATACAATGTCGGTATGTAAAAAATGACAAACTGCATTGAACGTAATTATCCTGTACTTGTGAAAAAATATACATTTCATGAATAAGTCCATAGTGAATATTTGTTAAAACATTATAATTGTAGATAAATTCCAAATAAAAATACCTGTTGTAAAAGTAGAAGAAATCGTCATTTCGCGGCAAGAATGAAAGAGGATGTTGACAAAAAGTGAAATATAGTCGACTGAATAAAAATGGCTATCAAAATCAGTCGAGGCCCATTTCATTTTCCGTAGTTGATTGTTTGAACAACAAACTTTTTATAATTGTTTAGCTTGTTTAGAATTTTCCAAATATCTGCACCAACTTTGGGGTACTTAGAATTTCTTAACCGTTTTAATTCAGCTTTTTGAGTTTTTTTGCAAAATCATACGCTGCAATCGTGAAAAGAATAAAAAATGGTTTAAAAGTGGATGAAAAATGTTTCAAGTTACGAAAATTTCTATTTCTCATCCAGTTTATATATAACCAATTTTTGCCCTTTTCTTGCTGTATTGTAAGATGTTCCACAAGTGTTTTAAATTTCGGAATTAATGGGAGATACTGTAAATAAAGAGGCACGAAATAAATGGTTGAAGCTGGGTTTCGCTTCGACTGATTTTGCTAGCCAGTGGTTCCTCGCAAACAGACGACCAATCATGAAACTGTGAATGTTCGTAAAGTTTAATGCATAATCAGTGATTGCGGGTGATACATTTCATATGACGACAATAGTTTATTCCGAAAAAATTTTGTCGCGGAATCAACTGATCTGACTGGTAATTCTGAAAATAAGATTGCAAAACTTTACGACCCGATTGGTAATTTGTCGAAACCTATTCGGAATTTCTCGCATACTATTGTTGTTTCTTGTCAGTTTATAAAATTTGTTCATTTTGAATCCGATTGGTGTCAGTTAACAAAGTTATTCAAATTTGGAATCCTTTATGTTGTTTGTTGCACATTGTATCGTAATAATCAATTTCTCTCTCTATTCAGTCTTAGGTTCCGCCGTATTCTTATCTTTCGGCTTGCGTGACCAGTTTTCCTGTACTATAAGTGCATTACAATTCTTTTTAAACTCGAAAAAACCTAATGAATGAATTCCAGTAATGTCCGACGTCGTATTGAATTTCATTGCCGGAGGAGTTGGCGGATCATGTACCGTTATCGTCGGACATCCATTCGACACGGTCAAAGTTCGAATCCAAACAATGCCTTTGCCGAAACCTGGGGAAAAACCAATGTTCACCGGTGCTCTTGACTGTGCCAAACAAACTATTGCAAAGGAAGGATTCTTCGCATTGTACAAGGTTGAAATTAATTAATTTTCAAATTTCGTGAAATTTAAATTACAGGGCATGGCCGCTCCTTTAATTGGAGTCTCGCCACTATTTGCTGTATTCTTTGGTGGTTGTGCCGTAGGAAAATGGCTTCAACAAACCGATCCTAGTACGAATTCAATACGGAAATATCAATTATTGATTGAATTTGCAGACCAGGAAATGACATTTATTCAAAACGCAAACAGTGGTGCTTTGGCTGGAGTTTTCACAACCATTGTTATGGTGCCAGGAGAACGCATCAAATGCCTTCTTCAAGTAATTTTTCATAATACGATATATAAATCTCGTTTTTCATTTTAAAGGTTCAACAAGCTGGAAACGCTCCATCCGGAGTTCATTACAATGGCCCGGTTGATGTAGTTAAAAAACTGTACAAATCTGGAGGAATTGCCTCAATCTACAGAGGAACTGGAGCAACATTGCTTCGAGGTTACTGCTTGTTAAAATGAAGTAAACATGAAAAAAAAAACAAATTTAGATATTCCCGCTTCCGCTGCTTACTTGTCCGTGTATGAGTATCTCAAGAAAAAATTCTCAGGCGAAGGAGCGCAACGTACATTGTCGCCAGGTGCTACCCTTCTAGCTGGAGGTTTGGCTGGAATCGCCAATTGGTGAGTTGAACCGATTTTACTACTAAATTAATCACGCTTTTTCTAGGGGAGTGTGTATACCAGCGGATGTTCTCAAATCTCGCCTTCAAACTGCTCCAGAAGGCAAATACCCAGACGGTATTCGTGGTGTTCTGCGGGAAGTGCTCCGTGAGGAAGGGCCAAAAGCTCTTTTCAAGGTAAACACAAAATTGTGAACACTATATTTATTATTTACAGGGATTCTGGCCTGTAATGCTCCGTGCTTTCCCGGCAAATGCTGCCTGCTTCTTCGGTCTGGAGCTCACTCTTGCTGCATTCCGTTTCTTCGGAATCGGCGGTCATCCGACCCCATCGACTGAAGTCATTCCACTTCCACACGACGAATGAATGCCTGCCCTTCCTAGTCTACGAGTTTCTTTGTGAATAATCTAACGTATATTTATTACAAGTTGTGTATATTTTGAATAAAAAAATAAATACTACTACTAAACATTCAAGTCTTTTGGAGTTTAGAGAACCGGAAAAATAATTCCGCATAACCGTTGTCTATTTATACACCAAAAACCATTTTAAATTGAACAGGGATTGACAAAATAACAACAGACACAAAAAGAAAACTTGAGAAAAATTGAGCACGGTAAAAAAACAAATAATAAAGGATAACCTATTGTGTTGCTGTAGTATGACCAATTTTTTCTCGTTTCGAAGTGTCCTAAAAAGCATTTAAATGATTTAATAATACATAATATAAATCAGGGCTGTGCGGCAATGGAATTGCCGATTGCCGAAATTGCCGAAATTGCCGATTTTTCAAATTGCCGAATTGCCGAATTGCCGAAGAGAACGTTCGATCGGCAAAATGCCGAATTGCCGGATTGCCGAAATTTTGATTTTCGGCAATTTGCCGAATTGCCGATTTGCCGAAATTTTGATTTTCGGCAATTTGATATCAAAAAAAAATCGGCGAAACCAAAATCAATGTCCATTGAATAACTTGGGATACCGTGAAAATTCGGTATTTATATTTCGAATTATCGTTGAAAACATTTAATAGCCGAAATTTTTATTTTCGGCAAATTGCCGAATTGCCGAATTGCCGAAATTTTGATTTTCGGCAATTTGCCGAATTGCCGGATTGCCGAAATTTTGATTTTCGGCAATTTGCCGAATTGCCGAATTGCCGAAATTTCCGATTGCCGCACAGCCCTGATATAAATCGGTGTGTCTTGATGATTTTTTAAGGTGTTGGGTAAATTAAACAATTGGACTATTATGCTATAAGAAGGCTTTTAATTTATCCAAAATAATTCCATTTATAGTTTCTATCTTATTTGAGAAAATTTTCAAATTTCAGTCTCGCTGGAAAATGATTTCGAAGCTTTGCACCACCACTCTCCGAGTTTGCTCTCGTCGCGGTAATCAATCGTTCTCACCATTTTAAATTTCATTTTTTACAGCTTTTATATCGCATAACATCCGCCGATTTGTTCGACCGATTGTAGTTTCGAATTTCCGAAATCTTCATTCCACCACAAACATGCTCCATCGCACGGCAACTGGGGCCGACGGACACGGGTCAGTTAGTATCATTCTATTCCACCCATTCACATTTTGAACAACGGCGAATGGAAAAAACGCAAAGTTCGCCGGCGTTCTTATCACCACAAAATAAATCAGGTTTTCTTGTGCTGCAAATTGTTTCCTTGAATGCCCTTTCAACGTCATTCTTGTTGTCATCATTTCGCGATTATGAAAATTTCCACGAAATTTTGTGACTGTCAATTTCTTACTTAAAATGTGATAATTAAAATTATTCGTCGTTTTGAGTGTATCGCGATGATTCCCTTTTCAATTAATTTTTTAAGAATTCTTAGAACACTACAGGTCTTAGTCTTGTAAATTTGTTTTTTCATCGCTATTTTCATCTTTTTATTGAAATCATTTTGTCGTAAAAATCGATATTTTTATACATAGTGACGTGTCATCTTCACTTGTTCTCTAACCAAATTTTTTGTATACAACGTACTGCTATCGACCATTTTTTTCTCAAAAGCTAGTACCTGTTACTCAGGATTTGTTCTTTTCTCAAATATTGGCTCAATGGTGAGCTTCCCATCCTCACTGTCGATAACATATGGAGTGTTGTCAGCTTCATCAGTGCCGTTAAAACGTCTTCCACGGGGCACTGGAACAGCTCGATCAAAACAGAGAATAAGTAGATCATTGACCAATCGAAACTGTTCAGTTGTCCTAAACGCACAAATTTAATTCCTTTTAATAGTTAACAACTCTACCACAAGTCCTTGAATGTAATTACATCTTTGTTAATGTTATGATGCTCTTTAATGTGCTCGCATGGCGAGGTCTGAATCGGCAATATGCGGTTGCAGTTCTGGCAGTGGTATCTGAATAAGAATTTGTTTTTTTTATCAGATTGCTGATAATGAGTGTATATGCCATATAAAGCACAAATAGTACAGTTACGTGTCTTTTCAGTTTAATTACAAACGTTGTATTAGTTTCCTTTTGACATTTTTGTGGGAGGTGTTAACTATACAAAAATTTAATATCGAATGTTAATGTGAATATTTCTTAAACTATCACTTGTTATCAAACAATAGTCTAGATATCAAAATCGTATAGTTTCAATGTAATATAGTTCCGGCAAAATAATTTCAAAGTTGCAGTTTTACTCGTTATCAATATTAGTCTTCGACGATTTGTTACCTTTCAAGATCCGGCATATCCAAAGTATTGCGATGTTCCAATAAAATGTGTCCAATTTGTCGACGGATGCGAGTTTTTCTCGTTTTTCCAACGCATACACTTTTTTTGCAAACCTTAAATATTAAATAATTAATTAAAACATATATCCTTAAAAATTAACTCCACAGTCCTGCATTCCAGTATCAATTTTCTTTTTCATCGAAACACCTTCGTCACTTGACGAATAGCACGCCTCAGTTGTCGAATACTCGGATGGTTTGAGCTTCTTGAAAACGGGCTCTTCATCAACAGTTATATCAGATTCTTGTTTCGCAGTCGTTTCTATTGGATCGTCAAGAATAAGAATCCCTTCGTCATTAAGATTTTCCGATACCAATAATTGAGAATTTTCGCAGTTCTAAAATTTTATTATGGAAATACTCAGTTAGATTTTATGTACCGCCCATGTTTCTAAAATATCTTGATTGCTGACATTATGAGCATCAGGTTCATCAGTATTCGGCTCCGATTCAAACTTTTGTTGGCTGAAGATCGTATTTAGAGAGTAACCCAGCAGGTCTTCATAGGTATCCGCTTGAAAGAACGCAAAACAGTTTTTATTCTAAAAATTAAATTAGAGTTTAATGTATTTTGAATAAGAAACATTTACCAAGTATTTTATAAGTGTTTGATTTCGGTGCGGATTGTTATAGAGTTTGATAACGATGTGTTTTTTTACATCCATTTTATCTGAATAATAAATCAAAATTTTACTAAAAATTTAAGAAAAAAAAATCAATTATGCAAAATCGAGAACATTTGAGCAACTGCACCGCGCAACGTATATTTTCGTAATGACTGTCACTTGTTTTCATATCCTGTGGGCGGGGCCTCAACGGACCAATCATAGTTGATCATGCCTTTGGGGAGTTTACGAATGTTGGATTTGCGCCATCCTTCAGAAGCCTAATTTTTGCGCTTATTGCATAAAGTTTGAATTATTTAGTATAAATAGTAATAAAATAAATATGCTGAACAAGGGGGGGGGGTAATCTGTGAAATCTAATGGAAAACTCTCATATAAAGAATAAATGATTTTAGGGCATTAATGGAGTCTTTTGCGTAAAATAAAATGTACATCTGCAAACACTGTCCTACAAATTCCACACAATTTTGGTGATCAAAATTTTAACAAATTTTGGCGGAATTTTTTGTTTTATTTCTCGTTTCGATCGTTGGAAATTATAATTTTATATTTTCTTTTCTTTATTTTCAACTGTCATTTATTAGAAGTATGGAAAAGGCCCCGCAAGACTTTTCGGACTTGGAACTAGTGTATCTTGCTAGAACTGCAATGAAGCGTGCGTATTGTCGCTACAGCAATTTTCCTGTTGGCGCAGCACTTTTGACTGAAAGTGGAGACGTTGTTTTAGGTTTTCGCTGACACTGATATCATTTCATTTTATTTCCGCAGGTTGTAATGTGGAAAATGCATCTTATGGTGGCACAATTTGTGCGGAGCGCAGTGCAATCGTTTCAGCGATTTCACAAGGCTTCAAAAACTTTCGAGCCATTGCAATTGCAACCGATATGAACGACCCAGCTTCTCCATGCGGCCTTTGCCGACAAGTTTTGGTCGAGTTTGGTGATTTCAAGGTTCCCTAGTGATCTTTAACCAACTAACAATAGTATCTTATCAATTTTGAGGTGATCATTGGAACCGCTTCGAACACAAAGCTGCTCGTAACAACAACAATGGAGTTGCTTCCGAATGCATTCACTCCAACATCGCTAGACACTTTTGAAATGGAGAATTCCAAACAAATAACTGATAGCAGCAACGTTGTTAACTAGTCATTTCCTATTTAAAGGCATCCGCCGCCTACCTCTTTCATTCTTCCTCAGTTTCATTCCGTCATTTCTTTTCTTTACCTCGTTTTGTAGACTAGTATACTTTTTATTAAATAAAGCATTTTAGACCTTCAACAATGGCGACTTGCGGATCCAACAAGCCTGCGGCGAAGTTCGAACGCCTTCCAACGTTTGCCGAACCAACTCATTACAATATTCATTTGGTTCCCAATTTCGAATCGTAGTTCACCTAAATAAAATGGCTAAATTATTTTCATCTTCAGGTTTACATTCGATGGACTTGTTTCGATTGATGTCAATATCAAAGAGGAGACTGACGTTTTGAAAGTTCACGCTCAATCGTTGAACATTCAGAATGTTTCCGTGAAGAATGAGGCTGGAAAATGTTTGTTTGTTTTTTTTTAATTGTAACTTTGAAGTCGAATCTATTTAGTGTCCGATCATTTGTCAACAGATTATGACGATAAGCTTAATATTTTGAGTGTTAAGCTTCCCGGAACATTCAAACCACAGAAAGTTCAGTTGAACTTCAAATATGTTGGAGAGCTTAATGATAAGATGAGAGGTTTCTACCGCAGTAGTTACAAGGATGCTTCTGGAGACGAGAAGTTCCTTGCTTCGACCCAGTTCGAATCTACTTATGCTCGTTTCGCATTCCCTTGCTGGGATGAGCCAATCTACAAGTCCACTTTTGATGTGACTCTTGAAGTTGCTAATGGACATACCGCATTGTCGAACATGGTAATTCATTATTCAATTTATTTATAATTAATGTGTTTTAGAATTCTGTTTCAACTACTCCAAGTGCCAATGGAAAATCGCAAATCGTCAAATTTGCCACATCCCCTAAGATGTCTTCATATTTAGTGGCTTTTGCCGTTGGAGAGCTTGAATATATCAGTGTAAATTTCAAATATTGCAAACGAATATTAATAAAATTTAAAATTGAAGGCGAAAACGAAAAGCGGTGTTGAAATGCGCGTCTACACTGTACCTGGAAAAAAAGAGCAGGGAAAATTCAGTTTGGATCTCTCGGTGAAAGCAATCGATTGGTACAACGAGTGGTTCGATATTCCGTATCCTTTGCCGAAGTGCGACCTTATAGCCATTCCCGATTTTAGCATGGGTATAAATCCAACATATAACGTAAATTGAGTTTTAATATTAAGGCGCTATGGAGAACTGGGGACTCGTTACTTATCGGGAGGTTGCCCTTCTCGTTGATCCAAAAGTAACATCAACTCGCCAAAAGTCGCGAGTTGCACTCGTTGTTGCTCACGAATTGGCTCACTTGTGGTTTGGAAACTTGGTCACAATGGTAAATAACTCTAGAAATATTGACTCAAATTGATACGCATCCTATTTAGAAATGGTGGACAGATTTGTGGCTCAAGGAAGGTTTCGCCTCGTTCATGGAATACATGTTTGTCGGAGAGAATTGCCCAGAATTCAAAATCTGGCTCCATTTCGTTCATGACGAGCTTGCTTCTGGAATGGAACTTGATTCGCTTCGTAACTCTCATCCAATTGAGGTTGAAATTGATAATCCAAATGAGTTGGACGAGATCTATGACTCAATTACGTACGCCAAATCAAACTCGGTCAATCGAATGCTCTGCTATTATCTCTCCGAGCCGGTGTTTCAGAAGGGATTGCGTCTTTATCTCAAAAAATTCCAATACTCTAATGCCGTCACACAAGATCTTTGGACTGCTTTGAGCGAAGCGTCGGGACAGGTAGTCACATAATTGTTAAATCTGTGCTTAAATTTGAATTTAAGAATGTCAATGAGCTGATGTCTGGATGGACGAAACAAATGGGATTCCCTGTTGTTAAAGTATCGCAGCGCCAAGAGGGAAACAACCGAGTTCTCACTCTCGAACAGAAGAGATTTATTAGCGATGGCGGTGAAGACAACCTCCAAAGCCTTTGGCAGGTTAGATATTGCGATTGTTCGTATTGTATCAAGATTTTATAGGTACCCATTACTATTTCCACTGGAAGCAATCCATCTGAAGTCAAATCGCGATTTGTATTGAAGGAGAGAAAACAGGAGTACACATTAGAAAATATTGGAGCGGAAGAATGGGTTAAACTCAACTCTGGAACTACTGGATTCTATCGCGTTGAATATTCGGACGAAATGCTCAATGCTATGCTTCCTGATATCGCTAATCGCAAAATGCCAGTTCTTGATCGATTTGGACTTATTAACGATCTTGGTGCTCTTGTTAAAGCTGGAAAAGTTACTCTTGCCCAATTTGTGAATGTTGTCGCTGCGTTCGTTCACGAAGACGAGTACGTTGTGTGGGCTGCTATCGACGAGGGTCTTGGAAAATTGTCGGCGTGTTCTATGGAAATTTCGCCAGATGTCAATGCAAGGTTCGTCTTCACAACAAAAATCTGAATATCGTATAAATCGAGAATTTTAGAGTTAAAAAGTTGATTGTCAAGATTTTCGAGAAGACTGGCTTGGAACTCGGATTCGACGAGAAGCCAGGAGATGATTCTCAGAAAATGATGCTTCGTGCCATGGTTCAGTCGCGATTGGCACGCGCTGGACATCAGCCAACCATCGACAAGTTTATGCAAATGTTTAATGATTACATTGTGATTTCGACTCCGATACATCCGGATATTCGTTTGGCGGTTTGTAAATTGTCACTATGTATAATGTATCATACATATATTTTTAAGGTGTTTGGCGCTGCTGCTCGAAATGGCGGAAAGGATGTGTTTGATAAATTGCTCAAACTTCGCGAATCAACTTCATTCGGCGAGATTGACCGTCAATGCGTCGTTGCAATGTCTCAGACTCAAGAGAAAGAACTTCTTGTCAACCTTTTTGAGTACGGATTCGGCCAAAACAAGGTCCGTCCTCAGGACCAATTGTATTTGTTCCTTGGAACTGGCAGCAGCAGGATGGGCAGAGAATACGCTTGGGAATATTTCAAACAGAATATCAAGGCTTTCATGGACAAATATGGTGGATCAAACGCAAGTCTCTTCCAAAGATGTCTCAAGTTCTCTGGAGAAAGCTTCTACTCAAACGAGCGTGCGCAAGAGTTTCAAGACTTCTTCTGCAACTGCAAGGAACTTAATGATGTCGATCGTCAGACTTTGAACCGACCAATTGGACAGGTAATTGTTTATTATAATAGAAACAAGTAAATTTTTCTAATTTAAGACGGTGGAATCAATTCGATTAAACGCCAATCTTGTCGAAAAGAATCGCCAAGCTATTGAGGAGCTTTTGAAACAACATGGAATGTAGATTTTTAGTTAATTTTTTTTTACTGGTTTCCCCCTAATTCTTTCTTCCCTTCTATGACCCCTAAATACCGTGTATTTTGGATTCTTTTTTATCACTAAATAATTTATTTGTTTTGTTTTTCTTTTGACGATTTTAAAATTTCAGAAATATTTATCCCGCTTATTCAAATTCAATAATAATATTAATTTAATGTCTTGGGGGTCCGTGGTGATGTGGTCGGCTTTTCCACAAATCGAAGAGCTCTTCCTTGGCTTTATCGGTGAGTCCGGAGAGAATCTCAAACTTCTGTTTCTGAAGAGCCTCGATCTTCTCGTGAGCTTCTTTGGCTTCCTTGGAAAGTTTCTCCTCCTTAGCCTTGTATTCCTTTTCGGCCTCCTCGCGTTTCTTCTTGAACTCGTTGAACTTATTAAGAGCGTCTCCTTTAAGAACTTTTTGGGCAAGTTCATCGATCTTGGCGTGCTTGTCGGACCATTTGATCGACTTGTCCTTGAAAATGGCTTCGAACTGACTGGTGATCTCTTTTGGTTGTCCCTTGAGGAACGGAAGTGGTGGACGTTTGTGAAGGTTCTTGCGGACATCCTTTGGAAGTTCGTCAATGACCTCGCGAGTAAGGCCTTGCTCCTCATAGCACTTGTCTCCCTCCTTCCAGTCCTTCCAGATCTCGTTGATCTTCGTCTGGGCGTCTTCTGGAAGGTCCTCGAGGAATGGCGGAAGTCCACATGGTGGTGGTCCCTAAAACATTATAATTAATCAAATTGCCAATAGAACTGTAAGCATTGTTTATATTTAATTGAATGCGAAATTTCTAATTTTGGTCAAAAATAAGTATTTTTTAAAACTTACCCATGGTCGTCTTCCGTGTGGCTTCGCTTGGATGGCGACTGCGCACAGAAGAATAGCTGCTAGAACGGTTTTCATATCTGTGTTGATTTGGCGATTTCAAATCAACTTCCTTATATAGAAACTCTACACTATCTCAAAATTGGTCTTGATCTGTATCGTGTATATTGCTGACACGCCTCCTTTTCTCTCTCGCGATCTCTCCTCTTCAATGCGTATTTGGAGGGCACGAATTTAGCGAAGTTCGGCTTCATTTAATTAATAATCTTGTTGAGAAAATGATATCATTTTTTTTGAAAAGAATGAAAAAGTTGATTGAGAGTTGTTTTAATGACTAATCCATTTCATCAATTTTTCTGACATCTCTTTCCTATTTTCCAAATGTTGCTCTTGATGTTTGTGCAAGTTTGTGTCTTATTATCAGTAAAAAATAAAGAGCTCATCAAACATTTAAAATAAACAGATAAACTGCAAAAAAAACGCCGGATATGGAATATTGTCTTCAATTTGGTTCAGATTTGAAATTCGAAAAGATCAAATTGAAGGATATCGATTTCTGTTGACTCGGCAAACTCATCAAATTGTGGGTTTTTCGATTTTGATAAAACAGTGAGTAGTAGAAATGAGGGATTTGATTACCATTTTCAACATTTCAGTCAAAACATTTTCATTCGCTGAAGTCAGAGAATCACCTCATTTACAACACTTTTTTCAAAAAAAGTGTGAAATTAGTCAATTTTTGAAGCACTAAAAAGTGCTTATTTTTAATATTTTTAATACATTTTCAATCAATTTTCTGTTGTCGATTTCATTTTTAATTTTCTATTTTTATGTTCTAATGACTCAGAAAATGTGTCACACTTTTTAGAAAATGAAAAAATCATAAATATTTATCGACAATGCCTTCAAAATAAACTTGGATATTTGAAATCGCCAATTATTTTTTTGTCGTGACCAGTCTTTAAATATTTATAATCATCAACAACAAATAAATACGAAAGGCCAAACGAAGCAACGACGATTTCTTATCATCCGCTCAACGCAATATTTCACTTATAACTGAAGTGGAATAGCCTTGAGACAACTGGTTGATTGTCCTACAAAATTAACAATCAATGATAACAGCGAAAATTGAGGGGGGGGGGAAGAAATTGGAGGTTATATCATATAACAAACATTTTCATTAAAATTTATGTTTTCGAATTAAAACAATTCAGAGAAATTACGATTACAATTCAGCATCGGCGTTTTATGCACAATTATGAAACAGGTATACGTCATGAAGATGAAAATATCACTATGTAGAAATCACGATATGCAAGTTTTGATCGTTTTAGAAGTGTGAGTACTAAATACAGTGCTCCACATAATTATATACCCACCCTAATTTTGTCGAATAACTCGAAAACGCGAATACCTCCAGAAATGGTTTCAATTAGAAAAGTATGCGCATTTATTATTAGTTTCATGTTATATTCACAAAATTTAACAAAAAATAACAATTTAAAAAATTTCGTCATTTTCACGAAAAAGTGGAAAAAATTTTTCCACAAAATGATATACCCACTTGATAAAAAACCCAGAAAAAGGCATCAAGAGTTAGAATTTGAAAGAGAATGAACATTTAGTAATTAACTGGACCTCCATTGAGTCGTGTTACATCAAAAATTCGACTGTCCATTGATAAATAAAGGTTGTCAAGAAGCTGTTGATCGACAAGCTTCCAGGCTTCCACGATTGCCTTTTTGAGATTTGTAATTAAATGAAAAGACTTGCTGCCATCGTAAATCTTCTTCACCATAAATCCCCAGACGTTTTCGATGGGGTTTATGTCTGGAGAACAGGCTGGCCAGTCGAGAACTGGGATTCCATGGCTGCGTATCCACTGGATGGTGCGGCGAGCGCGATGACAAGGGGCTCCATCTATCATGAAAGAGTAATTTTTGTGCCCATTTCGACGCCAAAATGGCAACAGACCACGTCTTATGACGTATCGGTAGTCAGAACCACTTATCTTCGGCGAAACGAAGCACAACTTGACTCTTCCATGCGAGCTGATTGCCGCCCACACCATGACGCCTCCACCTTTGAAATTTCTACGCGAAAACCGTAGCTTCTCTTTTCTCAAATCGTGCCAATAATCACGATAACCATCTGGCCCATCACAATTGAACTTTTTTTCATCAGAAAAGACTACCTGAAGGATGAAAAAGAGTTCAATGAACGTTGACGTTATTCTTACTTGTCTCCAGTTAGTTCGTTGATTCTTTTTTGCAAACTCCAGTCGTTTTTCACGATGTATTCGAGTCAACATTGGTGCCTTCCTCATTTTCCTGTGTTTGATGAAGTTGGTCTTCGATAAAACACGCCGGACGGTTTGATTTGTCAGCATGAGATTGAATTCCCTTCGAATCGTTGAGCACGACACGGCCGAATTTGACGCTCTTCGCAAAATTTTGCGCTTATCACGATCCGAAAGCAGTGAAGGACGACCTGTCAACTTTTTTTTTGACCATATGCGGCTGGATTCTTAGCATATCGGCAAATAACATTTTGTGTGCGTCCGAGATCATTCCCAATTTGCGATAAGAAAGACCTTGAGCCAGTTTTGCTTCAATTTCACATTTTTCAAAGTCGGTGAGCGGCATTCTACGAGACATGTCTTAAAAAACAGTAAAATTGCAAAAAAAAATTCGAAAATACGAAAATATACGAAAAAAAAATCGAAAAAAACGCCACAAAAATGGAGTGGGTATATCATTTTGTGGAAAAATTTTTTCCACTTTTTCGTGAAAATGACGAAATTTTTTAAATTGTTATTTTTTGTTAAATTTTGTGAATGTAACATGAAACTAATAATAAATGCGCATATTTTTCTAATTGAAATCATTTCTGGAGCTATTCGCGTTTTCGAGTTATTCGACAAAATTGGGGTGGGTATATAATTATGTGGAGCACTGTAGAAACAAAAAGGAGCATAAATAAGGAACACATCGGCAGACTCATCGGACGAATCAGTGTTTTTCCTAGGTTTTTGGCAAAACACGCAGAAATTTTTTATTTTGTTTTTATGCCGCTGTAGTAGTATAGGAATGAGGGATTTGATTACCATTTTCGACATTTCAGTCAAAACATTTTCATTCGCTGAAGTCAGAGAATCACCTCATTTACAACACTTTTTTCAAAAAAAGTGTGAAATTAGTCAATTTTTAAACCACAAAAAGTGCTTATTTTTAATATTTTTAATACAGTGCTGGCCATAAAGAAATCAAAAAATGGTTTTTTGAGCATAACTTTTCTGAAAGTAGTCCAATCACTCTGAAATTTTTAGACAACAAATAAAACAATAAAAGTGATAAATTCTACACATAAGTTGTTAATTTTTTCGAAAAATTAAAAAGAAAAGATCAATTTATTAAAAATCAACAGAAACCGGTAAATAGTGACCCGTTTTAAACAAGATCTAAAGTGGTCTTAAAGTTGCAAGCAGGTAATGAAATGATGTACGCAGGCTTAATACTTCGTGGCAAAGCCTTTAGCATCGATGACAGCCTGACATCTTCTCGGCATTGACTCCAGAAGTGTGGTAATGACGGACTGTGGGATGGCTTTCCACGCAGCTTCGAGTTGAGCGAATTTTTGATCCGCATTGTGGGCTCTGACCCCATTAAGACGTCTCTGGGGCTCCTCCCACATGTGCTCAATCGGATTTAGGTCCGGGGATTGGCTTGGCCACTCAAGATCATCCACACGGCGCCGTTGAAACCAATTGCGCACATGAAGTGAAGTATGTTTTGGATCGTTATCCTGCTGGAAAACATATGCACGACCCACGAACCGAAGCGCCCATGGTCGCATTGTATTTTCCAGCACGTCCTCATATTGGAAATATATTGATTCGTCTCAATGGCCCCATACCACTCGCGGAGAAACATCCCCATACCATTACTGAACCACCCCCATGTTTGACCGTTGCAAGTTGGTACTTCGGCTGATACCTGGTGCCAATAGGGCGGCGAATCCATGTAAGACCATCTCTCCAAAACAAATTAAATTTAGATCCGTCGCTCCAAATGTGCTTTGCCCATTCTTGTGGTCCCCAGTGAAGATGAACCTTACACCACTTAACTCGATGTTTTCGATTTTTAAGACTAATGAATGGTTTCTTCACTGGCCTTCGCCCATGGAGCCCCATCTCTTGCAAACGTCTACGAATGGTTCTCTTACAAGGGAGGTCATTTTGCTGTCCGTCTTAAAATTTTTTTATTTTTTGCATACAGATTCTTTAGAAAATTTCCAATCGAATGAACTAGGTCGCTACCTGCGCAAACTTCTAGTTATCGAGATATGGACCTTCAAAGTTTTAGCCCCTCCCCACGTGAATTTTGCACACAAATGTGCGGAAACTCGAAATGAAATAACGTGATGTCTTATCTCGTGCTTATATCCTGATTCGGCAAGCAGTTGTGGTTCAGTGGTGTGTAGGTTATGTTGTCATGAATGGAGTTGCGGATTCGGTCCCGCTATCTGCAAACTTTTTGCGAATTTTTTTAATTGGTGATACAGTAATTATGACAGTGCAATTTTGCGTTTTTCTATTCAAATTTGCCATTTTCATCATATTGAAAGGCCATGTATAAAAAAAAATAGTTTCAAAAAAATTTTTAAAAATTGAAAAATTTTTTATAAGTTATGTGGTTGTTGATCATGAATTGCTTGGAGCAGTGGTTGTCACAATACAGGCTTCAATAAAAGATTTTCACTAGCTGTCTAACTGTACTGGAGCAATTTTTGAATCTTTTTTTCTAGGTGACATATTTGACCGTATTATGTCATGACAAAGGATTTGATGAGAAGGTTTCCCCAAGAAGTTGTGTTCCAGAGTTCTCGAAACAACATGTTGAAGACCGAAACAATTCTGCCGGTTGCACCGGTTTCGTACAACTTTGGACGTCGAAGTTTTTGCGAGTAGGAAATGCAGTCTTCTATTGTGACAACCACTGCTCCAAGCAATTCATGATCAACAACCACATAACTTATAAAAAATTTTTCAATTTTTAAAAATTTTTTTGAAACTA